TATTTTAAAAAAAAATTATATACACGTGGCGTTTGGTGTCGAACACACACAATGCCACATATAGCTGAAAGTCACAGCTCTATTGACATGGCACTATAAATGATTTCTCACACCTCAACTGCATTTCATTGGAGTGCTCATTTAAGAGTGTGGCGCCCGCTAATAGAAAGTGGGGCTCACCGAAAAAAAGAACTGTGTGTCACAATATGGAAACCAAAACTTAAAATGAGGGCTCTAGGAATTGAAACACAAGGCAGCAGTTTGACCAATTCTGGAAGACCGGCTTCTCGAGAGAAGAATAACCCTTCAAGATGGACAAATGCTAACGCAAAGGTGAGGCTTCAAGAGTGCAAGGACAATACCGGCCTTATATCATTTTAATTGATTTCCATCTGACATAATCACAGATCAATTCAGGACATCAGCCAATCTGCTAGTGAATATGTTCTTGCCAGATCTGTCACGGGGAAACAAGGACTTGAATGTGCAGAGGGAAAGGGCAAAAAGCAAGCCCAAATCACATCTGAAATAATGATGACTGGGGTAGCATGAGATGAATGAAACAGCTTTTTTTTTTTTTTTTAAATCCTAGGCCATGCAGGGTGAAATAGTGGGATTAGCTCACAGTCTCTGAAAGGTGCAGTGGTGTCCCTGCCACTGATCTAGAATAACACAAACTGTTGGCTCAGTTTGCTTGTCTAGAATGTTGGTATTATCACTGTGCACCATTCCTCTGGCACAGTTCATCCAAGGCAAGCCTATAAAGCAAAGGGTTGAAAGTAAAAGGCAGATACAATTTTTTTTTCTTTTTCTTGTTTTTTTTTTTTTTTTTTGCATCAGATTATTATTATTGCAACATGCTCCTCGGCATCAGACAATATGTTAAGACAGCCCTTTCTCGATTTCCTGCACAGCTGAGTGGTCTTCTACACAGCTTTGAATGCTGCTTTCAAATCCTTAACACTCCAATTGCCCTTCTTTTAGGGTAACGTGCAGTCTGAATGAAGAGAATACATTTTTTTTTCATGTAACCATTGTCTCTGCTGTTCCCCAAATTCCGACAAATTGAATTGCTGAAGCCGAGGAGAAAATGGCGGTGTTCAAGAAAAGGGCATAGAGAGAGGAACATTTGGAACGATAAAGCATGCTGGTGAATACCCCCCTCTCTCCCTTATCTTGCCACACCAATGCTTTAATCAATGAGATTGGTCTTTATCACCCTATGGTGAAGATGAGGGGGAATCTCCTGATTTCTGCCAGTACAACCCATGTGTTCTCCAAGTCTGTGTCAGGGAGAGATCGGTGGAACAGTGGATCACAGGATGCACAAAAGGGCCAGTATCGATAGCGTCTTAAGCAGTGCGGCTCAGTTTAAGAAAGGTACACAGACTTCATGTAAAGATTCATATATAAACTTCATCAGTGGCACTCTGATAAAGGTATGAGGAACAGTTGCACTTGTGCTGGAATGGAAGATCTGGTGCTGCAGTTCACATGTAAGGAGGGCATTAGAGGGGAATGGTGGAAGCAAGTGAAGTTTCTGAGCACTGACCATATGCCTCCCTACCACCTCTCCTGGTTTCTGTACCACCTCTTGAATTTGGAGAGAGGTTCGAAGGCTCCTGCTAAGTGCAGCAAAAACTTCATCTGGGTTCTTGTCTTCATGAATAAATGGTAATGACTTCTCGTCCTCCACCACGAACTAACATAACTCGGTCCAAATGTTCTGTGAGGACCTCTAAAAATTCCATATCTGCGCAAAACAGCAACTCAGGAGCATAACAACACAAACGAAAATGCTGAAAGAAAAAAAAACTGCCGGTGACAAACATCAAGAGAGTGAAATGTCTTCTGACGTTCTTACCATTCTTCAAATGCAGTACACAACAAATATTGTGGTGAATAATACACTAAGAGTCTACAATACACTAAACATTGTTTTATATTTTTGATTTTCAAATCTACACACTGAAATGACCAATGGCTACAGCAATAGGTGGCCTACTTAGATTTCCCCTTGATTTAAGACTTTAACAAGGGGATTTCAAGGTGTTTCCAAGCCGGCCAAAATATGTCTCCATGCTGTTCTAGGGCTACCTACAGACTTCTCACATTTGGGCATGGCTACAACAACTATATTGGGTACAAGATACCTAAACCATGGAGCACATGGTACTAATGGCAAAATTCTGGTCAACACTGAACATAAAATGCATCCTATTTGAATGCACTAGTAGAATAAGATCTGGAAGACCCTTCTCCTTAATACCCCAAACTTTTTACCCCCTTCTCTTTGTCTGCCCCCCTTCTTTTTTCCTCCCTCCTTCTTTTCACTACTTACAGCACTATTCTGGCAAAAGTACACCTCAAGGGATCCCCTACTTAATGCAACGGCTAGAAGGGCCCCTCTGTGTGATGAAATTATCCTACCTTTCAAACCAAATCAGCACACAATGAAACTCTGGAGACACGGAGTACACAATATTAAAGTAATCATTACTATATGGAAAGAAATGTTGGTACCTTGCCAACCCCTTCATACCTTACTTATATCAGTACATTTGTATACATCTTTGCTCCTTGTCCTAATATTTCTTCTGCACATTGACTCTATTCTCTGTCATGTGTTTACCTTGTTCTTTTAAGCAAGTATACATTATTTTTAAGAAGCTACTGTAACCAGTCAGTTGTGCACTTTTACCTTTAAAGTAGACATGTGCACTGCCAAAAAATTCATTTAGTTTAGTTTTGTTTTAAATTCGGATTTGTGTTATTTCGTTTTTCGGGATTCGGGTGTGAAAGTCAATTCGGATTCGGACGAAATTCGGTAGCGGTAGTTCGAACGTTCGTTTTGTTTTCTGTTCTTATTCGTTTAGTTCGTTCGTTTGCAGCAAAGTGACATTTGAGGGGGAAAAAATATTTTTCTCCTTCTCTAATGTCACTTTGCTCCAACGAACGAAACGAATAAGAAACGAATAAGAACAGAATACGAAACGAACGTTCGAACTACCGCTACCGAATTTCGGAAATGGAAATTCGGATTCGTTTGCATTCGTTATGTCTGTAATTCGGAATTCGGATACATCCGAATGTCCGAATTTCTGAAAATTCGTCCGAATTTCGATTCGGAAACACTAAACATTGTTTTATATTTTTGATTTTCAAATCTACACACTGAAATGACCAATGGCTACAGCAATAGGTGGCCTACTTAGATTTCCCCTTGATTTAAGACTTTAACAAGGGGATTTCAAGGTGTTTCCAAGCCGGCCAAAATATGTCTCCATGCTGTTCTAGGGCTACCTACAGACTTCTCACATTTGGGCATGGCTACAACAACTATATTGGGTACAAGATACCTAAACCATGGAGCACATGGTACTAATGGCAAAATTCTGGTCAACACTGAACATAAAATGCATCCTATTTGAATGCACTAGTAGAATAAGATCTGGAAGACCCTTCTCCTTAATACCCCAAACTTTTTACCCCCTTCTCTTTGTCTGCCCCCCTTCTTTTTTCCTCCCTCCTTCTTTTCACTACTTACAGCACTATTCTGGCAAAAGTACACCTCAAGGGATCCCCTACTTAATGCAACGGCTAGAAGGGCCCCTCTGTGTGATGAAATTATCCTACCTTTCAAACCAAATCAGCACACAATGAAACTCTGGAGACACGGAGTACACAATATTAAAGTAATCATTACTATATGGAAAGAAATGTTGGTACCTTGCCAACCCCTTCATACCTTACTTATATCAGTACATTTGTATACATCTTTGCTCCTTGTCCTAATATTTCTTCTGCACATTGACTCTATTCTCTGTCATGTGTTTACCTTGTTCTTTTAAGCAAGTATACATTATTTTTAAGAAGCTACTGTAACCAGTCAGTTGTGCACTTTTACCTTTAAAGTAGACATGTGCACTGCCAAAAAATTCATTTAGTTTAGTTTTGTTTTAAATTCGGATTTGTGTTATTTCGTTTTTCGGGATTCGGGTGTGAAAGTCAATTCGGATTCGGACGAAATTCGGTAGCGGTAGTTCGAACGTTCGTTTTGTTTTCTGTTCTTATTCGTTTAGTTCGTTCGTTTGCAGCAAAGTGACATTTGAGGGGGAAAAAATATTTTTCTCCTTCTCTAATGTCACTTTGCTCCAACGAACGAAACGAATAAGAAACGAATAAGAACAGAATACGAAACGAACGTTCGAACTACCGCTACCGAATTTCGGAAATGGAAATTCGGATTCGTTTGCATTCGTTATGTCTGTAATTCGGAATTCGGATACATCCGAATGTCCGAATTTCTGAAAATTCGTCCGAATTTCGATTCGGATCGAAACGAATCGCACATGTCTACTTTAAAGTACACCTATGCTAAGGGAAAGAATGTGAATCAAACATAACATGTGCCTGAGCATCATAAGGAGCCACCCACATTTTTTTAAATCAATACACCGACTTCCTGTATGGAGCGCAAATAAACCCATCACAGTTCAATACTCAAAGCTTGTGGAATCTTAACAAAGGCACTGCAGTGTGGGTGGTAGTTGGCTTGGTGTGTCTGAGCTATGACGCTTATGTTCAGTATTGGCACAGTAAATTAAGGGGCTTCAGAGGTTCTTTGGGAGGCTGCTGTGAAGGAGTATGTAGTGGCACTGCATAATGCCGGAGGCTATGTGCTGGATTTGTTTTGGATGTTTAATGTGCACCAAGAAACTGATAACTTTTCTAACACATAAAGCTTAAAAAGATTTTTTTTTAAAAAGGATACAGTTTTCATCTCCTTTCCTATTGCGAGGTGGACCTGGCATATTGAGAAGAACAAGTTTTGAATCATGAGATTTTTTGACTATGACTTCATTCAGTTTAACCGCTGTGTGCATCCTGCGGACATTTGATTGATTCCTGTACAAAGAGAAAAAAAAGAGCACGTGATGTAAGTGTACCAAAACAAATGTCTCATATAAAAACATTAATATGCCCTCTAATATAACTTTGAATAAGGATTTATAACTGAAATTTTAGGAGAAAAAAACTTACAAGTTCTCCCACTCACTTTGTTTGCACAAAAAGGAAAAAAAAAACAACCGTTAGCCACAAAAAAAATGTTTGATCAATATACTTGGCAATTACTGTCTATGTGCCCAATGTTTCTTCAGGGAATGTATACTATATCAGCATGCCAGTGAACTGGGTAAGAGTAAACTATGTCAGGGCACATTTTATAACAAACCGTATTTAGTATATCTGTGCAATATTATACATCATGTATTCCACCATGCAACGCTGTACTAAAATGATTTTTATACAATTTTTTCACTGATAACAGTTTGGTGTTATCAGTGATTGATGGCCCTAAAATTATTGCTCGCACTCTGACATCCTTGGTGATATGTAACATGTGTGGCGTGATCCTTGTTTTTGCAGGTAGGCGCACCCAATGTGTATTTACGTTTATATGTGTTTGCGGGCTGGGGACTTAAAACATTTTTTTGGTGTTTTTTCATTTTTTGTTGTAGGTGACTTATTTTGTTTAACGTTTTTTTTTTCTTTACACTTAACTTTATGGCTAACAAACCCCCTATGTGATAGCAAATATACAATGACAGGTCCTCTTGATGGAGACATTAGGGGTCTTCAAGACCCCTAATGTCACCTAGGGACCCTCAATACGCCTGTATCTTATCTCAACAATTGTTTAGCAGCTATGTATGAGTGACTGTAGAGGAATACAAAGTTCCTGCTAGTGGTAATCTACACTTTTCTTTGTTTATTACCGTGACAAAAACATCAAGATGTAACCAGGTAAAAGTCACATAAAAATGTTAATATTATATTTAATAGTTTAATATACTGTAGGGGGATCTATCAAAACTGGAGAGGACAAAACCTCTAGCAGTTGTGCATGGCAACCAATCAGCATCTCTGCTCAGTTTGTTCAGTTAAGATTTGAAAATTAAAGAGAGAAGCTGATTGGTTGTCATGCACAGCTGCTCCAGATTTTCTCTAGTTTTGATAAATTCCATTCTGTTTGTGTTCAGTAGGAATAAGTGGAATTTGAGTATTAGGGAATTTCTAGTCACTATTTTAGCAAAATGCTTAAGCGTCCATAGGACAGGCAACATTTACATTGTCTTTTGTGTTTTCTAACCACTTGAGGATTTTGAATGTAAGAAATGTGTCCTATAAAATTTCAAAAAGTTTTCAGGACAAATTTCTTATGTCCAGCTCCTCTCCCCCGCTGCCGCTGCTTCCCCTGCCGATATTTCTAGCAATTAGAATTTGTCAGTCAGCTGCTCCTGTGTAAAAGGACTCTTGCAGATAGTCTGTAAGTGTCATTAAAAGAGAACTATGGAGTAAGTGTTTTTCCCCATAGTTCTCCTAAGGGTCACGGGAGGACATATATTAGCGTCCTCCCGTGACCCAAAGTTCAGTATATTGCGACATACAGCTCGCAGTATACTGAGACCGCCGCAGCCTGGATGGATCACGACAATGCTGTCGAGATCCACCCAGCTGTGTGAGTGACAGCTGGCTCTGCCTGTCTAGAGGCAGAGCCAGCTGTACCCGCCCCCTCCCCTGTCCGTTCCTCCAGCCAGCGCTGGCGGATCGGATTGGGGAGGGGGCAATCTCTGCGGGAAGCGGTGACTGACAGTCACCTCTCACTGCAGGGAGATGAGCGAGCGACGCTATGTGTTCGCTCACTTCCCGATCTATTGAGCCGACATGTGACAGTTTCATTGTCACATGTCGACTCGAACTATGAGGATGAGTGATTTTCGCTCACCTCATAGTTCTTCTTTAACCCCTTCATGACTGAGCTTGTTTTTAGTTTCTGTTCGTAAATGACTGACACACTTTTGACATTTTTGCTGTGTGATTCTTCCACGTCAGTAATATACTTTCTTACAAAGTGCACCCACACATATTATATATTGTTTTTTAGAGGACAGATAGGGCTACATATTTATATCACATGTGTGTCTAACGCCTCACTTAGGACAAATAAAATATAAAAAAAGAGGAACAAAACGTTTTGATTTGTAGTATTTTTTTTACAAAACCAGCACCGCTAAAAAATGCAATAAATACATTCATTTATTTGTCCATTATTTTATTTTATTTTATTTTATTTTTTACACATTTTTTTTTTTTTTACACACACGTACAGTGTACGTGACGAGTCATTTGGTCCCTTTGTGGCTGGACGTACAGTGTACGTCTCCCGTCACGAAGGGGTTAAGTAAAACCGTGTATTGTTTGTTGTTTCATTGTTTGTTGTTTTCAATTTATCAAAACTGGAGCAGACATAATCTGGAGCACCTGTGCATGGCAACCAATCAGCTTCTCTCTTTCATTTTCAAATCTTAACTGAACAAACTGATTGGTTGCCGTGGGCAACTGCTCTAGATTTTGTCTGCTCCAGTTCTGATAAATACCCCCAATCTGTTTCATTGTAGTAAATACAATGAGGGGGATTTATCAAGACTGGAGCAAACAGAATCTGGAGCATTTGCCCATGGCAACCAATCAGCATCCCTCTCCAGTTTGCTTAAGTATGATTTCAAAATGAGAGAGAGAAGCTGATTGGCTGCATGCAAATCTGCTCCAGTTTTGATAAATTCCCCCCACTGTGTTGTTTCATTGTATTTATTATTTCATTCATATGTAGATCAAAGGTATAGCCTTTGATCTACATATGAATAAACTAGTAAACACAATGACATCACTTGAAGAAAGTTTACAAGTTTGTACTTAGTTAACCCTAATCAGCCCCAATAACTTTCTTCCTCCTTTTTACCATAACTATTATTTTTTGGCTGATTTTTTTTTAACCACTTGAAGACCGCGGTGTTTCACCCCCTTCCTGGCCAGGCCATTTTTCAGTGTTCAGCGCTGCGGTACTTTGGCTGACGTTTATTCCGTCATGCAACGCTGTACTGAAATTAATTTTATACCATTTTTTGGGGACAGATAGAGCTTTCTTTTGGTGGTATTTAATCACCACTGGGGTTTTTATTTTTTACTATATAACAAAAAAAGTACCCTAAATTTTGTAAAAAAAACATGTTTCCCTATAAAATGTTATGAAACATTTATTTTCACCCCAATTTTTTGGTATAATATAAAAGACGGGGTCACGTCGAGTAAATAGACACTAAATATGTCAACCTTTAAAATTACAATTGCGCTACACATGTTACATATCGCCGCGAACGTCGCAGTGAGAGAAATCATTTTAGGGCATATTTTTGCATACCATTAATTTTTTTTCCACATTCAATTCATTGTATTACTCTTTTCAGTGTCACATAACAAGAAAATTAAAATACAAACAAACAAAAAACTGTTTTTTTATTTTGCAAATAACTTTACCAAGTTTTGTACCAGAAACAAAATTTTAGGGTGAATTTGTAATGGGACAAAGTATAGAACAGATTTTCTTTTATTTTCCTGACTTTTTGTCTATAGATTTAATAGAATAAAATAACTTTTGCAAAACAATATCGTCAAAAGAAAACATAGCAAAAAAAAGAAAACGCCAAATAAACAGGCCTATAGAGGAAATGCAAAAAACTGCTAATCTTTTTATTGAAAGATTCAAGCAACTTTAATGCAAAAAACTGCCTGACCCATACGGTGTATACAGGTACGAGAGTTGAAGTGGGCTTCAAATTGCTTCTGAGGGTTATTTGGACCATGGTCATGTGATTACCATGTCAGCACTAAGATAGTGATCACATGGCTTTGTTAGAAAACAAAGGGTTAAGGTGAGTCTTAAGGTTGGCTTTGTTTGTCTACAAGGCCATGCACCACTATGTCTGATATGGTGATCATATGTGTTAGAAATGTTCAGCAAAGACAACTTAGCTAATTTCACAATGGAATTGAACTTGTTGAATCCTCAAGGGTTTACCTAAAATCTGCCATATTTTCCTTTTTAATCTAAAACGTATCCTCTTCAAGCTGCAGGCAGCCTGAATTATAGTTGTACTTACGGTTTCATGTTGAAAAAATCTCTGATCCCTTCCGGAGTGCTGCTAGGACTTTTACTTTTGTTCTTGTCGGCTGTGAATTTCTCCTTTGTCCAGGTTAGATGTACTTTCTCTTGAGTGGTGTCTGGTTCCTCTGGAGGAGACTGCGGGGTTGAACCTGTTGCATTTTTATCATCTATTAATTGTACCTGAAGAACACAAAGACTTTGCGTTAGTAAAACATGAAAGGTATGAAGATAAGGACTTTAACGGGCCTTAGAGGCGTCAAGGATGTAGAGGATAATATATAAAGAGACTAGCATTACCTCTTCCTCTTCCTTTTCCTCACAATCTCCCACTTGCTCCTCCGGGACACTTAAATGTAACCTGGAGTTTGTTGGGTTCTTCCGCCTGATTGATCCGCGGGATTCATCAGTAATGCTCTGGATCTGTATAAGAAGCATTGGAAGACACCTTCCTTAAAGAGACCTTGGCATTAACTTAAAAATTACAGGTAAAAGCACAGAAAAAATAAGTATTTTAAATGCTTACTTGTAGTTTTTTTTTTTTGCCTTTCCGTAAACAGTTCACTTGCACTGTGCCTTTAAACTTGCTAGGGAGTTAGACCACTAGCACAGCCACAATTCCTCCTCCCTTATGCCACGTCATAGCCCTTCCCTCCTCTGAGAGTGTCTCATTAGTGTCTATGCTGGTCCAGATCCTTCACCTATCACCTTCCTACATAAAATGATATGCAGCAACTAGAGGAGGAGAGAATCGGAATATTATAGAGTCGGCCAGATTTTCTTTCTCTGGTCCATAGCCCGCCGATCGCCTATATGTGCTCGTTCGCGTCCTAGAGACCCCTAATGTCTCCATAAAGAGGACCTGTCAGTGTGCCTTTGCTATTATATAGGGGGATTGTTATTCCCCCATATAATAGCAATAAATAAACACAAAAAAATGACATGTGGAGGTAGCATAGGATGTTGCTCGGGGTATTCATTCCAGCAGTAGAAAACACAAGACCCAGAATGATATGCCTCCATCACACTTGGCAAAGTTTGTTGATATACACAAAGCTGGTTTTTCATAAACCAAGGCAGTTTTTAATCTGATAAGGTCCTACTTCAAAAAATATTATGAAGATATATGTATTGGGATCTCAAATATGCAGCTGCTTGAATCCCATTTCCTTTAGCAAAAGGAATTACATTCAAACTTAAAACCCATACAGTCCGCAAGAAGCGATCTTCACTGGCTTGGAATGTCTTTGATATTAAACATGATAACTCTGCAGCTGCCAGTCCCAATCTGATCACAGACAAAGATTAGCATCTAAAAAACATAAAGTGGGCAGCACTTCTAAGAGTATCTCCCATCATATTTGAAGTAACATAGGAAAGTATATAGAGAAAATTTCAGTGAGTTCTTGATGAACCGGCCTAAATTCGCTCAGTGGGTGGCTCTGTCTGCCGGTGCCCTCCTGACTTCCTTCCATCAAAAGCTCCAAGGAATGTCCCAAGACCTTCCCCTCGCCCATTCTCTCCTTCACCTATCTTTCCTATCCATTGTTTTTTAGGACATGTTTTTGGCATCATGACGTGTGTACTGATATTACATGTGTAAATATGAAGAAGTCACTCGCACTCCAGCTCAAGTTCAGTCAATATTTTATTTACCTCTTTGTCTGCCTGATGAAGGGACCAAACGGGTTCTGAAACGTTGCCATGTTGTGACACCGCAGAGGTCAATAAAATATCGACTGAACTTGAGCTGGAGTGCGAGTGACTTCTTCATATTTATACTGATTTGCGGAGGCATCCTTGGTCGCTTGGCACCCACCCAATACTTGAGGGTATTATCCGGTCAGGTGTGCGATGGGTTTCTTTTGATTATTGAACTGATATTACATGTGGTCACTCCGTATAGACAAGCGATTGTATACCAGCTGTTGGAGTGTCTTAGTTTATTAGCATGTTACCAAATTGATCCTCACTGTTGCTATGATGTACACATGTTGTTATCTCTTCTTCCCCAGACAGTAGTTTCAGCTGAGAGTATGGAAGCATTCAAGACCCGTCTAGATACTTTTCTCAACGTGCAAGACATACAGAGGTACTGGTAATCTTAGTAACTCAAACACACATACACACACAAAGGTTGAACTCAATGAACCTGTGTCCTTATTCAACTGTAACAACTATGTATCTTAGCCCGTAAGGGTGAAACGCGTAATAGGTAGACGGCTGCTGGGTGGGGATTCCTTCCATGGTGGACACTGGATTTTTATGATGCTGAACAACCAGAAAACGATGCATTAATAAGGTCACCCCCAGCAATAGATCTTTCTTCCCCAAGACCAGTAAAGTTCCTCTGGCAGCTCAGGCAACTTTCTGTGGTTAGGATAATGCCTAAACATTGCCTGCTTTAAAAACACAGTAGGGGGAGTTCACTTAAGCCGGAGCAGACAGAGTCTGTAACAGCCGTGAACGGTAACCAATCAGCTTCTCCCATCAGTTTGTTCAGTTAAGCTTTGAAAATAGACGCTCCAAGCTGATTGGTTGCCATGGACAGCAACTCAAGATTATATCTGCTCCAGTCTTAGTAAACTTAAATGGGTTTTCTAAATCAGAGACTGTCGTGGCTTTCTCTTTACTCGAAAATGTTATGTTTGTATTAATGACTACCCAATTCATTCTAAAGGTAACACGTTACCTCTCTCTCCCGTTCTGTTTTGGTAAGGTGCATTTGCTTCAAGATTTGCGATCTTTGTTCCATCACAAGAGTCTTCTCATAAGTGTATGCAGAAATATCGCTGTCATGCTAAAAAAAAGCATAAATACATGCATGTTACATGGAGTCTACAACCGTGATTGATATGTTCTGAACTTCAGTCATTTATACATTATAGAAAATACATGTCTGTGTAAACACTATCAGGTTTTTATTTCTGTCTGGCTCTGTTAGGGAGATTTACCCTAATTTCCTGTCCTACAAACCCTGGAAAATACAGGTGTGACCAGGACAGGAGGTTATGGAGATCCTATTAATAAAAACATTGGTGTGATTCTCAGCACTCCATCATGCATCTGCCTCTGCGAGCCATGCCTGTGCCTTTTGGAGCCTTGCAATGCCTCATGGGACTTGTAGTCTTACAACAGCCGGAGTTTCTACCCCTTCTCTAAATGTTCGCCACTCTACCAAAAGAGTTGTTTTATTGCCATTTGTGTCTCATTTTCTTCATCACATGGCTTGCCCGATGAAGGGATCCTATGCAGCCCCATAACATTGTTTACTTTGTGATAATGTGAATGTGCGTGAATTGGTATCACAATTGGAGTGCTAGTGTCTTGAACTCTTTTTATTATGTGTTCACCAACGCGGCGCCAATGGCTTGTCACTGCAGCACCCACCACGGATTATATTGGGATTCTACGGTTAGGAGTGTGATGGGATAAGTGCAATCACTTAAGGAGCTTTCCCTTCACTTCCTGTCCCAGTGACTGGAATACAGGAAGTGAGAAGAAATCCTTTCATTGGGCACACACAAAAGTAAACAAATCAATGGCAGAGTTTTTAACACTATCGAAATGAGCTGGGCCCTGTCTACCTAGCTCTGAAACAAGAACATTCCTCATAGACTAGGGGGCAGAACTATGATTTCTACAGGAAATACATTCTATATAATGATCCAGCAACAGGTCAGGTATGGAGGCTTTATAGAAGCCTCATGTTTTCTGTTATGTTACACTAATGTTATTTTCTGTAATAAAACTGCCATGAAATGTCACTCAAGGCCTTTCTCTGGGCTCTTCCACCACCTTCTGACTGATCGCTGGCGTTACAAAAAAAACAGCTCTGCGAACGTCTACATTTTAGAATCACAGCATATGATGGCCACTAGATGGAGTCGATGGGCACAATAATTTTCTATGTTCCTCGGCTCCATCTAGGGGCCATAACACAAATTATGGCCCCTAGATGGAGTCAGCTGCAAATCCGCATAGCGACGTTTTCTTAACCCCTTCATGACTGAGGCCCTTTTTTCATTTTTTGCACCCATGTTATATTCCACATTTTAGGCCTGAAAATGACGTAAAACCCCCCAACATTATATATTTTCTGAATGCCAAGACCCTATAGAATAAAATAGTGGTAGTTGAAAATGTTTATGTTGCGCAATATTAGCGCAACTCCTTATTAAACCCCAACACACCTGATTGTTGTAGTGCACAATTATTTCCGAGGTAGTGACTACCGAGATTTATAATTTTTTCACAGTAGAATCTGAACTTAGTAGCTTCTTCACGTCCTATAGAGTGCACATATTTTATTTTATTTATTTGTCGAGACCGAGCGCAACTCACTTGCGATATAATAAGTTCACCCACACACACAGTTGCGGCTGGTCGAACTAATTATTTAGTTATTTAGTTTTCACACCTAGCGCAGTGATTCTTGAATTACTAAATAAAATCTTAACCCTTGCAGTAGGACTACCCCACAGAAGCGGTCGTATTGTCTGTGGGGCTAAAATAACAGCAATCCCGACTGATTGTTAAGGTGCCCATACACCTGCCGATTATCGCACGATAATCGCGGGTGATCCCGCGATCGTATGATAATCGGCAGGTGTATGGAAGGCGTGAGACCTTTTCTACTGTACATTCGCACGTCTTTTGTCTTCCGAACACGCTGGAAGACCTGCCAAAAATCGTACGATTTTCGGCGGGTTAGTGGCGTGCTCGGAAGACAAATGCCGAACGGGCCAGTGTGCGCAAGCGCACACTGCTCGCTCAGCATTGGAATCATCGAAAGCCCTCCCCTCAGCGGGGTGGGCTTGCGATGATCGCAAGTACGATCTGCCTGTCCAAGATGTGCAGATCTTACGAGACTTGAATTACCTTACAACCATTGCACAACGAAAGTCGTGTGTTGGTTGTAAGGTGTATGGCCAGCTTTAGACCGGTCCCTTCAGGTTTGCTCCCCCTCTGCCCCAGCGGCCTGAGGTCCTGTAAGTCATCATGTCCTATACAGTGTACAGCACATGAGGACACCAAGGGGCATTCCATAGATGGAGCAAAGCAGAAGAGATGATTGGTCTAGGAGCCAGCCAGGATCGCGATTCGGGTGGGTATATCTCTGTTATTTTAGCTCCATAGACAAAATGAGCACTTAACCCTTGCACTGCAAGGATTAAGATTTTATTTGCCCGGAGTGCTTCTTTAAAAAAAGAGAAGACATAACAGTGCCATGCAATAAAATATGAATGTGGTTTTGCATGTTATGGGAACGAAATGTATTATAAATACAAAAATAGTGAGGGCTCTTATTTTTCACCATGCCAGGACAGTAAACTGCCATTATTAAATTTCCTAAAATACATCCTTTAATTCAACTGTAGGAAGCATCATAGATGTCAATGGGCCCTTCAATCTTATTCTGCTTAAAGCTGAACTCAGGCACATATAAAGGACACATTGATGCAGTTCAGTAATCATCAACAAATCATTAAATGTACTTTTTTTAAAAGCAGCTATTTTAGGCACCTGAATGTGACCTAATATTAACCTCTTACAATCCCATATACAGCAGCAGTCTGAGACAAAGGAGAGCAGGACAATGTGCTGCATGCAAATCTCAATAGACACGGAACATGCTGATAGGATAGGAGAGAGCAGAGGGGTAACGTCATCAGTATGCTTCTGTTTTTTCTGTCCATTCAGCAAACTGGGGATGGAAATATGTTGCCACTGTATTGCTAAGGCCATGTTCACACAGACGGCAAGGGGGTGGTAATTTCAGGCGGTTGTCTGCGGTTTTACTGCCCCCCAGTTGCCTGTTGCAGTGCCAGCACTGCTGCCGAACAGTGCTGTATATCTTGCGGCAGCCGCAATGCTTTTTTTCGTGACATGGCAACAAATATACAGTATGTCGTATTTGACAGGCTGTGCTGCTTGTCAAATGTGACTATTGCAATGAATCTGTATTAAAATAGGAAATCCTTACTGGGATTTTAAAAAAAGGTATTCAGGAGGCAGCAGTATCGCCTTCTTAACACCGAGCAACAATTGCTACACCGCCCTCCGAAAATCCATCCAGATCACTTTTTAGGGGGTGGTGGAGGCTGCCGCTATGTGAACAGACTATAGGATGGACCGCTATAGGATGGACAGAAATACAAACCCTTTGACGGGTAAAGCCTCTCTCCTATATATATTTATCTGTTTGCCTAGAGTCCAGCTTTATTGGTCTAATGAGGAACACAGGAATATCAGGTATAACATACAAATCTAAATAAACATAACCAGCTATTGACATCAGGTCTATGTTAGATCTGAGCACAAGAAGACAGTAAGAATCACCAATTCCACCACTTCCACTTCTGCATTAATTCTCAGATGATACAAGAAGGTGGTCAGATCTTTCTTCATCTGGATACTATTATCATCCATTTGAGCCACGGTGAAGATCCTCATGGTGCATCTCTTCCACACCTTTGTAAAGAAGGCACATATAATAGTTCACTTGAAGCAAAATTATAGTCTTTTCATTGGTAGCTCTGGGTTATTGTGTTAAGTATAATGGTTGGATTACGTTTACATTAAATTGCACTCCAGTAATTGTAAGAGAAATTAAAGAGCATAATGAAATGGAATAATAACTGATTTTTCTCAGCAAACTCACAGTTGTCATTAAGAAAGTGGCAGCAATTATTTATATCACAGGAAATGAGATAATGACCACCGAACATGCAGCCTCTGTACATGTGTGAGATGTAACTAATGCTGTCCCATTTTCTTTAAAAGGATCAAGGCATAGTGGATTTCTTCTTTTGTAATATCTGTCACTATCTTGTTTTGTACTTTTACATATCATTCTAAAGAATAGCTGGCTGGCCTTTCAAAAGAGTTTCTCTCTTTAGATATAACTTACAAAGGCCATCTTTGTGGGTGGAAGTTTTATCAAAGCTTATCTACACCCAAAAATAATATTATTGATATACCCAAAAGCTCCAATGCCTATCCAGATACGTGAACTTCTGGTATCAGGAAGCCGGGCAGCGAGTCATTACACGCCGCCCAGCTTCCTGATTGGCCGAGAACCCGGCTCCATGCTCACTCGTCACCTGGTGACGAGGGCACATGGAGTCGGCCAATCAGGAAGCTCACTACCCGGCTTCCTGATTGGTTGGGAAGATGGCCATTGAGGAAGCCGCGGACGGTGAGTCATTACCCGCCCCCCCGGCTTCCTCATTGGCCAGAAAGCCTTGCTTCACTTGGTGACAAGGAGCATGGATCCGGCTTCCCGGCCCATCAGGAAGCTGGGTGCCATGTAATGACCCGCCCCCATGGCTTCCTGATTTGCCAGAAAGCTGGCTCCCTATTTCTTCGTCACCTGGCTTCCGTAATGGTACTTCCGGTATCGGTATTCAGTATCGGCGAGTACCAAAAAAAAATATCGGTACTCGATAACGAAAAAACTGCATCTCTAACATATATATATAAATGAAAATGTCAAAGCATTGGCACTGGTATCTGAAAAGTATCAGTGCATCCCTAATAGTGTGTATATGTGTGATTATATATATATATATATATAGGCAGGCTTTTTTCTTTATTTTCCTCTGGTAATTCTGCCTGTAGTGGACTTTCAATTCTAGGGTGACAACCTAAGATCCTGATTTAAACTATAAACACCTCTCCTTATCTCCATACATAGAGGGAAGATGTTTTTAGTTCACAGAAGATAGCTAGGAAGGTTGATAAAATTTCAGCTTAGTGCATATGAAGTTACAAGGACACTAGATTTCTGGCACTTTTAAGCAGCTGACAGATGTGTATAGTTAAATCTGTCTCTTCTCTTCCCTATTGTTTTCTTTAACCTTACCCCTTTTCCCCTTCATTGTCATAACCCTTGTTGCCCCTTCTTAGTCCACTTTACTGCATGTTCAGTTGCCTGTGCCATGCTACAGTGCACACAAGCTTGCTAGATCAATACCCATTGAAAGTGATGCAGTGGAGTTTCTTTGACCTTTTACTTCCGACGTACATGCAGATTGCTCTTACCTGTCTGATGGGGGAAACCAAGTAATTCAGACGGAGAACAGATTATTAACAATGGTGACCATATGGGGAATAATGTGGTCCCAGTGGCCAGTGGTGGCCGTGTCTTGTTTAGACATGGCCACCACTGACATGCCAGGGCTGAGCTGGATTTTGAAAGTGTTTATAGAAGGCAACAGGCATTTATTACAACCACTTCATTACAGGCAGCCTACTGTAAGACAAATTGTTGCTAGTAGAGAAATAATTGCCATTCCTTCCCTTTCAATCGGCAATAGAAGTAAGAGATGGTTCAAGGTTTATCAAGAGATACAGTATGTTGATATTACTATTAAGTTTAAACTTCTAAAATTAAAATGTGAATTTAGCTAATTACCAGATCTCTTTTGTGTGAATCTAACTATTACATGTTTCCAGAACATTAGTTGTTTTAAAATATTTGGTTTACTGCATTCCCCTTATTTATTTTCAATTTATTAGAATACATGTGATGTGATAATTAGAGAGCTATAGAGTGTTCGTTGGAAAAGATAAGCGTGAATAATGTAACTTGTCTTTTACAACAATACATATTAATTGTTATTATTATGATGGCCACTATTACATGCATTCACCAATAATTACCTTATGGTGACCTAAGAGGAATGGCAACAGCATCAGCATGCCACCATCATGGACAACCCACCAAACATCAATATTGCCTTCAGAAAATCTCTCTTGATTTCCAGGAAACATGCTAACATTTTTGGTAACGATCAGAGCCAGGCGAGCTGCAGTTGTTTCCCTTACAAGCTCTGTAATGAATGAAAAGGAGACATTGGCTACAATTCCAAATTTAAGGACACAAATCGTAACACATAAAAGATAACATTTTATACCAATGAAGTTTCTCCAGGTCTGGTGGTCTTCCTTCTGCCTCCAATTCCGTGGCCATCCAACAAGGACAGTGTTATGCTGCAGTCCTCCAAGTCCACTGGACTGAATCAGATGGGAAATCCCATCCCGAATGTTTGAAGAAGTGACCACTTGGCAAAATCCCTTTACCTTCTCAGCTTCCATAAGACGCCGGATTGACTGGTTTGAAATGGAAGATAAGAACAATGCCTTGAAACCCAACTCCAGACAAATTTTCGTCCACTTTCCATTGATGTCTTTCCCCAATTTGGCAAATTCTCCATACTTTGTGTCTATTTGACCAGTGTCAGATAAATCACAAAGTGATGGAAAATCCACCCACTTCCTATTCAGCGTGTTAGATATAACAGGAAGTGAGGGAAAATCCCCCCAACAGGGACATGGGAAGGGGGGGGGGGGG